TGGATTACAGGGGAAGCGAATTGAAAGATGTGGCGATTGTGCGACGGCTGCCCAACGTTGAGGTGCTGTCGCTGTCCATCAATCACATCACATCCCTCTGCGACTTCGCCGCCTGCAGACAACTACAGGAGCTATACTTACGGCAAAACAAGATCCAAGACATCAATGAATTGCTTTACTTAATCGATTTGCCTTGTCGCTGTCCATCAATCACATCACATCCCTCTGCGACTTCGCCGCCTGCAGACAACTACAGGAGCTATACTTACGGCAAAACAAGATCCAAGACATCAATGAATTGCTTTACTTAATCGATTTGCCCGAACTCAAGAAGCTATGGCTGGCGGAGAATCCGTGCTCTGAGTTCGACAATTACCGCTCGACTGTACTTAAAGCGCTTCCAAATCTCGATTTCTTGGACAACGTTAGGTTCGCATCCATTGATAATATAATAACCATTTGTTTGACTGATTTGTCTATTAAATAGAGTCACTCCAGAAGAGCTTATGCGCGCTGAGAGGGAAGGCTATGACCTTCAATGGCCGGGAAGCGATTGCGAAGACAACGACGAGATTAATCAGCAAATCTTACCACAAGAGTCACAAACAGCACCGGTTATAGCGTCACAACAACAGCAACAACAACAACAACACGTACCGCAACCGCAACAGCAAACCTATCAAACACCACAAACCATTGCATCACAACCACAACAGATGACACAAGAAGTGGCGGCTATTGCCAGCCCTAACGGCAACGGAAACGGCAATACTTCATATCAAATGCCGAATAATACGAATCATAACCAGAATTCTTCCGCAAATTCCTCTCCAATCGAAACGACAACACAATTGCCGACAAGAAATCAAACAATGATTAAATCAAACTCATTGTCTGATTATAATCTCTATAACGGTATGCATTTGTTTTTGAACTCAATTCCCATTTCAATTAACTCAAAATAATTTGATCGCAAAATACGTTTAATTGTTTTCTCGTGTTATTTATAACCCATTATTACTTATGAATTAATTGATTTCATATTTCGTGAAATCATTTCATTAGCGAAATTGTCTCTACATTTCAACTGAAATCTTATCTCCAGTATTGGTATTGTTTTCATGAGTTAGCGATTCATTAAAGATTTGATTTAATGTTTTTAAATGAGTTATACTTTTATTAATCTTAACATTTAATCGCAGAAATATTTGAGAGAAAAACACTTTACGAATAAGTATTAGAGATAATTGCGAATGAATTTTAATTAATGAAATAAACATTATTATCATTATTTAGGGAATTGAAACGAAACTAATATTTCTGGCTTCAAATTAGAAATATGTTTTTTGTACTCAATTAATGCAATAATGCGAACATTATTTCAATTAATATGTAGTTTTAGCCCAAAAATAAACTGTTTTTCAAGACATAGAAACTCATCGCACAGATGAAGAATTTTCTACTCTTCAGATCAGTTCAGGTCATTATGTTTGGGGTTATTGTGTTGTCGACTGATTCCCCTCTCCTCTCGTCGACTCTTTCGAGAAAACTTGAACTCAAATTTGGGTCAAAATCGAGTCAAACCTACAGAAAAAGGGCCAAAAGTTTTGCGAAGTTTTGTTGTTGTTTTTGGTAACAAAAATTTTTGATAAACACGAAAGCGATTGTGTGTTTGATTTGCAAAACTATGTTTTGTTGTTATTTTAATCGCTATTTTTAAATTTTTAATCAAATGGGAGTTTATGTGCGCAAAACTTTTCTGTAAGTTTCATATCAGACGTTATTGACTGTAATTTTAGCGTAAATTACAGCTCAAACACAGTGTAAGGATGGGTTAGCGCCAGCTGTGAGTGAAATTTAGGGCTAAATTTACCATTTTGTTAGGTTTTGGGTGAAATATTAGCGTAATATTACGATTGAAATTTAGGCTTAAATATTAAACTCAATCTAATTGGTAAATACAGTGCAATTGCTGACCAATTAAGTGATTGAATTAGTGACCAATTAAGAGATGCCTAAACCCAGGAGTGAATTTCGCAAATATATCGCCGATACGGGAGGGCAGCGGAGGTGTAGGTTATGTGACGCTAAGCTAAGCCTTAATATTAGCAGAAATAAAATACATTTCCTGAAGAGATGCGAGGCTTTTACCCAAGAGATGAGAGATCAGTGCACAGACAAAGACTTCGATGTGACCGACACTCCGGACAACGAGTCTAACGCGTCCCATGAATTGAACGCATTCCTCGACAGCAAAGGTAGTGATGAGTGGCCCAAAAGTTTTGCTCGTAATATTGCATTTGGCGTTAAGAGTTGTTCCGCACAATACATGCCATTTGTGGCCACCATTTAGCTTAGCATATGATATATTCGGTACAATTAGTACCACTCCTTGTTGTATACGAGTGACGGACAGGTATGGGTTCAGGGATTGATTGGGTGGACAAGTGGTGTCTAAACATAACATTAACTTTTTGTTTAGGCTATAAGTAGGCGAAAGAGAAGGATGGGAGGGGTGCACACAATTCTCCCTTATTCTGGACTTTGAATTAGTTTTTTTGCCATAAATTTAAATCTAATTTCTAATACCTAATGATATAACTTGTGTTTTGCAGGAAATATAGGGATAAGTGGTTCGACCCCTTCCTCGGCAGCCATGGAACAGGTATTACATATGGAACCAAATGTTGCAAATTATGGCAATTATTCCGGTTATCAGAACCTCAATACTCCTCGCATTCAAAGCGCTCCCAACGGATCCGCACAACGATTACTACCAAAGGGCGGAAAACACAGAGTAATTGACATTTGATTTGATATGATTTGCATTGAAAATCTAATGATTGACTCGTCTTTTGTTTATTACATTTGTGGCGAATTGAATGCTAAAGAATGCAAACATATTATCAGCCGTTTTGTGTCTAATCAAAGAACTGGATTACGCGAGTCTGGAAGTGGTCGACACAACCATTCACTGCCGTATGGAAGAGATGGAGGACTAATTGATTGATGAATTAATTGACACCAATTAATAACTTATAAATTATTACGAAACCAAATAAGCATTTTATTGATCACAACATATACTTTGACTGTATTTCTCTCGACATTCCTATAAATTTTCTAATATATAAATACTGTGTTTGAAATCCAATTCAATTGTATTTGCGATTAACTATTAAATGAGTATTAATACAGTTTGATATCTGTATAGAATGTTTACTCTTATTGTTATTTCAAACATTGTGTTCACCTTTAGGGCTATAATTGTGTGAAATGTCTATTCAATACATTATGATTATTCATAATATGATTAAATAATCATAATATGAATAAATATAGTTTAATCGCATTTAAGTGTATACAGTATACAGTACTGTACATGTAGTTCGGATATTAGATATTTCTACAAACACTAAACAAGTTTAACATCCAATTTATTGAACATTTTTTATTAAAACAATTAAACGATGAAAACATTCTGATTATGAAATGATTTGTTAAAAACTATGAGCCGTTGATATGACTAAAATCCATAGCTTTTTTCTAAACTCTGATAAATTTTTACTGGCTTTGACTTGAAATTCAGTTTTTACTTCAAATGTCATCGTTTTGTGTGATTAAACCTTTTAATTTAAAAGCAAGTGAGGAATGGCTGCAGTTTTGCGCATCTCTTGTAAATCACGATAAATTTGTACGGATTTTGAGGTGATTTTCAATTCTCGAAATCTATCGCTCAAACGAATAGCCATTTCTTGATTCAAAATAAGTTTTAGTGCACTTATTGTTTTCCTATCTTTGATACAGTTATCACAAAATCTGACCAATTCTTCGACATCGTTATAGTAGTTGATGAGAGACAGTGTCTTAAGATTGATAAAACGACTTAACTGTTGGCCACTGACAATAGGTATCAGTTTATTTTGATCTCCCATTAGGTCTAAACGTGAGAGTTGTGTTGCATTTGTTATACATTGTAAGCATTTGTCAAAACACAGGACACAATCTTCTCTTGAGATACTGTCATCCAATTGTATATCGCATTCGCACTCCATATAAATGTATGATTTCAATGTTAAGCGCTGTAAGTTTGGGAATACTGTGCCCACACGTGTCCACTTGGATGGACGACATGAGCTATTCTTTACAGTGAATCGCTTCACAGAAGGCATCGTTTGCATTGAGTCGAAGTCTAAACCGATCTCTTTAATGGTTAGGCGTCGACAAGCGCTCAGTTTGTGTATATTTACTGTATATAAATCTGTATCCATAAGACTAAATGCAAAAGCAAACTCTTTGAGTGACAAACGATCGCAAATGGATATAAATATGCGATTAATAAATTGCTGAAACACTTGTCCTCCTTCTCCTCCTTCGAAACTTCCATAACTATAGCTAATATCAAGCGCTTCCAGACTTGGAGAGCATCGGGCGATGAAGGGGTCGATTGCGTCCAATGGTTCGGCACATCTTAAAACTCGTATTCGTAACCGCTTTATGTTTGCGGGAATATTAGCCAACACTGGGAGATATTCCCCGACTCTCCTGTCGATCAAATCTATGCCAAACTCTTGTAGTGATAATTGGTTCAAATTGTTTACTATTTGTCGACAACTGTCGGCGCGAATCCCTTTAACTGACAAACGTTTCAATTGCGGTCCAAGAAGTTTTGTCCACTCATTGACTCCAAAAACATCCGTAAAAATGATTTGACTATAAATTAATGTTATGTCTGAAAGTCGTGGACAAGAGTTCATAACCAAAGCTATTGTTTGGAAGTCAATGACAACATTGTTCAGAGTTATGGATTTAATTCGTGAACACTTCGGGAGTAATGCAGTCAATACGGGACGACTGGTTATTATGTTATAATAATATTGTGAATTATTATGATATGGATATTTGAATTCAACCAAATACTTGAGAGCAATCGCATCACTTATATCTGTTTCTATGAGCGATTGTTTGCCAACACTTAACGTCCTCTTCATCCTAAGAGCTGTGGCCACACAACTCGCAAACTGTGCTGAAGTCCTCTCCAATCGCACCAATTCTTTGACACTAAATGGTCTCAATATGTCTTCGAGTATGTCGTCCACCATTACTCTTGATTTGATGTCCACTTTGTTATCAATCGGCTCTTCAGTAGTGTTGCCATCATTTGGTGAATTGATTGGTGTCTGAACTGTGGTGATAGTCAAGTCATAAATAATTACAATTGACTTAATTTGTAGTAAACTTGTAATCAATACATACTTTCAATTGATTTGTTATTCAATTGATTCCCCACTTTATAAACATTTGTACTCTTCGTGTCATTAGTTGGTTTAGTGGATCCAATGCCTCCCAAACACCCGCAACACAACACATATTTACAATACCAACACATTTGTCTTCAAATCACTTCCTATTGATTAACAATTATTTGTATTTATTTTACTAAATAATCCGTTAATAGTTTGAATGCTTGTTAACAATGAATTTGATAATCATTTTTATTTCTATAGTAATAAACCAATTAAATAATGCATTATATTTTGATAGCATATAAGATAACAACTTTTACAGAACCAAAATTAATGATAAACTCATAATTTAAACATTAATTTATTTATATTTTAAAATAATATTTTACAAAATGTATGAAATCTTGTTAAGAATATTCTATTAAAAACAGTGAATAAAAATGTGCCTAAAATTGAATTAAAATAAATATTGAAAACTAGTGGCAAATAATGCAATACTTTGTAACAAAACCAATGGATTAAAACGATAACTAGAGTTCGGGAGCTGTTGTTGTTTGCGGTGTTTAAGTCTGCCGGGCGTGGGTTCGGGCGGTTTGTAGGGCACGTTTTTGGGCGGCACTCCTGGCTTCACATCGAGTCCAGTGGAGTCGTAATCCATTAACTCTTTGCAACCATTGGATCCCATCTTATAATTAGGACAGTCTTTGCGTTCATTGTCGGCGATTTGCTTATCAAATATCACTTTATTGAAAGCTCTCAACACCGAAGGCAACAGACATTTATTGGTTATGGCTCTGCGCTGACACTCAATGAGCGACCAAATGGGACAACACTGTCGGCCCTCGCCTTCACCGCAGTTCAATTGGATCCGCTCTTCGGTGCCATTCGTCACGCAATTCCACAATTCAGCCGTTTTTTGCAGACATTTGGTCCACTCGTCTGAACACTGTTGATAACATAGTTTCATTGGTGTCGTAAAGTTATTAAACGGATTCTCAGCACCGGTTCCCACAATCAGCGCCAAACTTATTGTAATCCATGCGACAGTTTGTGTCAAATTCATCATCAGTTTAATTATGAAAACTTTCATTACAACAGATTAATGACATTAATAGTGATTTTAAATTTTGTTTATTATAACGGATTGTATGATCAAAAGTATTGTTGATTGAAACTAAGCGCTGGAAAGTTATTATTAATAACTTATTATTTATAAATTATAAATTAATTACTGTATAAAGTAAATTCAAAAGTTATACAATTAATACATTACTGTAACGTAAAATGCATATCACTTATAGTCCCGAAAGCGCGAGAATGAAAATTACTGTAAAAACATCTTTATATTTATTGAATGATTTGACAAATGGTTTGATTGCGTGAAAGGTTTTCAACGAATTATTTTTGGCAAAATAAGTGATCACTTAAACTAATCCACTAAACCATACATACTATGGGTTCAGTGCTGTCACGGGTCGGCAGTGGACGCGAAGATGAGCCGAGTATTGAGACATTGCTGTTGTTAAGTGACCTTGAAATCCAGGTCCTGAAGCCATCACTCATTAAATACCTGATAACAGATGTCTTGCGATCAATACTGGACTCCGAAGCCATTGAGGACAAGGAGTGTATGGTATGCGCGCCCACACGGCGATGGAATATTGACGACTATAAGCGACAATTGAAGGCCGGTTTGCACAACACGTTTCCCACGTCCGCCGACCGTCCTCTCAGACCGACGACACGGTTTGCACACAAACAGCGGTCGGCGACGATATATACGAGTGCTGTTCGACTATTGCCGACAAATACATCTCTATTGTAATGAGCCCTCAGAGATGGACACCGAGTCTGAGCTCTTCGACACTCTTCGCGAATGTAATGTTGAGTTTGTGAAGAAGGAGTTCATTCGTTTGAATGGACAACTCATTGGTTGGCTTCTGTATCAACACAAACACCCGGAGCCCAACGCCCGCCAACAAAGAGAGCCGAACATCGCTCACCTCATTGAGCATCGATTGCCCAAAATAATGGACAGAGCGTACAAAGAGTCGCCCCTAACGGTCACCGATGGCTCCATTTGGGATATCAATCGCTATAGACGTGATCTGAGGGCCGGATCTCCGACACACTTCCCGTGCATTCATTTGGCGCCCTTTGAAGGCGAGTATCGGGAGCTGAATAGCGCGAAAGGCCGGCGCCGTTACCTCTATATGCTATACCGATATAGCATTCAATTGCAGAGATATTGCGGCAAAACGCCGGATACGGGAGAGTTATGCGAGTGCT